GTGCTAAAGAGCATCACTACAACACTCATCATCCACACACTAACAACATCAGGGAGCTGCTTCCTAATCAACAGATGAATCATCTGAAGAGAAACCAGACCTCCATCAATTGAAACAGCTGCCTAATGATAAGTGGGGTTTAAGGGACTTTCACAGTCCTGTTGTTGTTGTTGTTGTTGTTGTTGTTGTTCAAGGCATTTCTGACGTATAGCAACCCTAAGGTGAAAATATCATGGCAGTTTCTTGGCAACTTCTTAGAGGGGATTGCCATTGCCATCTTTTGAGCCTGAGAAGCCCCTAAACTAGGGGCTGTATAGGAATCATGAATACGTAGCAGTTGTGAATGCATCACTATAGGTTACACATTTACAATTGCCTAACAGGATTCTAGCCATAGTTTATATTATGACATGTAATGCTTCAAGCTTCCCATAGACTCACCCAGCCACCCATTGTTGGGAAAATAACTGGCTAGATCATGTTCCAATCCAGCAAGGCAATTTAACACATTACACATTATAAGAATACATGGTGGAATTACTTCATCTAAATCTCTGGGTCCTAAGCCATTCAGGTCAGATACAAGTCCAGACTGCCTCCCTTAAATAAAGGAGGAGGAGGAGGAGGAGGAGGGCTTTTGTATCCATATCTCTCTGAATGGTACCATTGCTCCATGTCCACATTTCACAGCTCAGTCCATTCATAATCCCATATAATGCCTGACTTTTTATTAGGACTCATACTCCGTTTTCTTTCTGTTTTTTTTTTTTTTGTTTGTTTGTTTTTCCTTGGAGCTTTTGATCTTAAGTGTTGTGTTCTGACCTGGCACATGTCTTTATTGTTGAGCAAGATGTTTAAGCTAAATGGAATGTGAAGTACAGCACACAATTTCACTTATCTCAGCTTCATAATTAACTGGAGCTGGGACACGTCTCTTGACTTCATCAGAAAATAATGGCCTTCCTACAAAGCAAATTTTGTATAGTTAGGGATCTCTGTTGTCTGTTTTGTAGTTTATTAATTAGGGACAGTAGGGGGGCACATATTTCAAAACACCACCTTATATTTGTCCAAAGTGATCTAGCTTAGAATAAAATATGAATCTGGAGTGTTTTCTAGTTAGCTATCAATCTGCTTGCCAGATTGGACCAGTGCCAGACTATCTCTATGATCCAGTTGCAGGACACACCTTTCTAAAAAAGCTTTTCCTCAGAGACACACTAATAAGTAACACCCATTGTTAAAGCATATGTTCCTCTTTCTACACACCATGCTGTAGGAAGGAATGGACGAAAATGATAACATTACTGCTATAGATTCCCATTGCATCTCAGTTTGGAGGATGTTATCTATTTGTTTGCTCCCTTGCGTGCCAAGACAATCACATTGGTATTTTTGAAATAATAATAATGACACAGAATTAACCATATGCCAGATGTGAGTTCAAAACCCACTGTGATCTCCCACAGAACCCCCCCCCCCAGTCATACATATAGCCCATAGTTTGGAAACATTTAAAATTAATGAATATAATGACATGCTGAAGCCATCCATAACCAAGCAGTGGTAGCAACCTGCTCAGGGTCCCAGTGATTAATGGCTTCAGTGTGTGTGTCATTGTATTCATTGCTCTTCAAAGAAACTTGCAGACTTTTTTTCAACCTATTAGAAATACTGATCAGTTCAAGGACTATCAGTCTGTACTGTGGATTACTCAGGTGTGTGTGTGTGTGTGTGTATATATATATATATATATATATATATATATATATATATATATATATATATATATATATATATATATACACACACACACACACACACATATATGGGAAAAGCCATATATATAGTTCATTGGTATGACATGTCTTAGGCCATGCCTAACTTCCTAGGTTCAAATTTTAGTATGTTCAATGAAAGGGCCTCATGTACAGGGCTAAGAAAATAGACCTATATTTAACTCTATAGAAGCCAGCGTGGTGTAGTGGTTCAAGTGTTGGATTATGACTCTGTAGACTAGGGTTTGATTCCCTGCTCAGCCATAAAACCCACTGAGTGGCCTTGGGCAGGTCACATCCTCTCAGCCTCAGAAGAAAGCAATGACAAACCTCTGAACAAATCTTGCCAAGAAAACCCATGGTAGGTTCACCTTAGGATTGCCATAAGTCAGAACTGACTTGAAGGCACACAACAACAACAAACTAACTCTATAGGTTGTTGCTTCAGCTTATGGTGACCTTATCAATGGAAGGCCTCTAAGTCCTCCTATCATTAACCATTCTGCTCAGGTTTTGCATACTCGGTGCCATGACTTCCTTGAATGAGCCTATCCATCTAGGATGTGGTCTTCTTCTTTTCCTACTACCTTCTATCTTACCAAGCATTATTATCGTTTCTAGTCAGTCATGTCTTCTCATGATATGACAAAAGTACAACAGCTTCAGCTTAGTCATCATGGCTTCTAAGGAGAGTCCAGGCTTGATTTGCTCTAGGGCCCATTTACCATTGGGTTGATGTGTGGATGATGAGTGTTGTAGTGATGCTCTCTGGCACCCAGCAGAGTCTACAGGACAAGCTGGCTGCTGTGATCCACAGCCACTGTGTAAACTTGCCATCAACTGGCTCAGCTTCCCTTCTCCAGCATCCTGTCTTCCTCAGTCAAGAAGACACATTGTAAAGTCCAAAAGCATAGCTTTATTAATGCATATAAAAAAGTAAAAATAAGATAACTAAGTAAAATCCATTGTGATGAACTTGTCCAGCTCAGTCATGTAAGATTACATCTTTAACAATCCAAAAAGCATTAGAATCCAACTTGTTACAGTTAAACCATTTTTCAGCCACACATGCTCACATCTTGAACAATAAACAATCTTAAACAAAGGATTTTCTAAGCCCATCCCATACTCCACCTTCTAGGTGTTAACCTTGTGTTAATTGGATAATGTCTGTATGATGTATGTTAACCCAGCCTCTTGCTGTCCATCATCCACCACGTGACTATCTTTCCCAAGCTTAACGATGTTTACGTATAATTGCTATCACTTAACCATAGCAAAGTCTGTGACCATGAATTGTATCTTTGGGAAAGTACATTGTTGATGTCTCTGTAACCACCTGGAGTCGACTTACTTTGTTTTTCTAAATATTGTTTGTGTTACTTTAAAAAACTGTTCTCAAGTGGAAAATTACAGACACACACACATCTTTACATTTCACCTTTGACTATATATCCCATCCATATCCTAACATTGATGTGCCATGGTCTGATCAATATATGGGTCCTTTCACACATGATGCATGGTAGAAATAGAGCATGGGAAAATGATTTGTTTGTACTACAAATCCCAGGATTTGCTAGCTATGAATTCTGGGATATGTACTCCCAAAAAAAGAAGCTTTGCCAAGCTCTGGGCCAAATACACTCTTTGAGTACAGACAACACTTGTCAGAAAACTGGCCTATTAGGGCATCATGTAATTTGACATATGTATATACCATGCATTTGCATATCTACAATTTCCATTTGCCTTTCTTCCATTCCTGTCCCTTTGCTTGTTACTTTCCTTCCCCTAAAATATCACTTTAATGTTATGCATGTCCTGGAAGAGCACACATTATTGTGAAGCTGTTTTACTTTGATTTTTTAAGTTTTACTTTGAATTTGTAGAGACATACTTTGAAGGCAAAGCCTTTTCTAGTACACAGCTTCCAGGTGATTCTTTTATCCAGGATTAAGACTTTAAAAAGAAAATAACATGCACTATTAAATATTTCCACAACTGTTTCTCCTTAGGGCTGTCACATCAATTCTACCCTGCTAGCCCCTGATCTGCTGTTATATCTTTATAGTCCTCCTTGTAAAACTGGGAGGTGTTAGCTGCAGGGCTGTGTAGTCTGTCCAACTTTGAATACAGCTCCTTCTTAAATGGAAAATGAATATTAATTAGCAATAATACATATACTGTAGAAAGATAGCAGCACTGCATCACCACAATATGAATCATCAGGCTACTTGAACTGGCCGAACATAAAATACATTAAACTGTCTGACAAAACTCTTCTAAATTCCTATGACACAAACAACAAACTTAGCATTTAATAAATTATTAAAAGGTAAAATATAAGTATAAAATGATATGTTTCCCATAAATTGTTATATTACTGTAAGTTTTTATTTTGAAGCCAGGGTTGGAATCAATGCATTCCTTCCAACTCCAACCAAAATTGCCTCCAATTCTGACACTGACTCCACAGCCTTGAATGTCAGGAGTCACCACCTTGATGCTTTTTTTTTTCAAAAAAGCAAAAACAAAACACCTCTTAGTTGTACATAATTGCTATCTATTTCTTTGACTAAACTGACTCTTAGGACTTTCTCATTTTTGGACAACCTATAGTTGAAAACTCATCAGAAGCATAGACATTTTACCCATGGGTATAGGGAAAAAATGCAGCCCCTAAACATCATAGTTGTGTAATATGCATGAGCTCCAAGGCAATTCTCAAAAGAGACTATGGTGGGTTGCAGACTGCCAGAAATAGTGCAAATTGAGTCCACTTTTAGGGTTAGGGAATCATGGGAACTGTAGTTTATTGTGGCACCAGAACTCTCTGACAGAGAAGGCTCAGTGTCTCAAAAAAACAACAACAATTCCCATGATTCCTAGCACTAACCCTAACCCTAAAAGTGGACTCAATTTGCACTATTTCTGGCAGTGTGCAACCCCCCTATACATCAATCAACAAATATACTGATCTCATTACCAGCAATGACACCATATATTAGAAGTTTGGGGTTGGTTGGTTTGATTTTTAAAAAGTTGTGGAACAAAGCTATGCAAAACCTAATTTTTTAGTGCAGAATGAGGCAAGCTGTTAAACAACTGCAGTGTTTCACAGTTGAAAAACAGGACATGTGTGCCTGAGCAACATCAGAGTATGGTCCAAAGGACATGGCTAGACAGTGAGAGGACAAAAGTTATACAACAAGAAGAGCACGCAAAACTGTTATTTTCAGCAGAGAAACCTTGGAATTTATGTACAGAGTTTTTAGGAATCTCTGAAAAAAAGTGGGGGGGATCAGTAAATACAGTAATTTGTGTATACGTATGTGTGCACAGAGCATAATTAGCAATACATATAATATTATTAAATGCTTATTCTAAAATTAAAATGTTTTTATCAGGCCTGTTATAAATTACAGCTTTCTTTCAGATCCAATATATGAACATTGTGGTTCATACCTGCCCAAGGCCCAATATTTGGGTTATTGTGTGCCTTCAAGTAATTTCCAATTTATGGTGAACCGTAAGGTGAACCTCTCACAGCATTTTCTTGGTATGATTTGTTCAAGGGGGGGTACCTTCCTCTGAGGCTGAGAGAATGTAACTTACCTAGTGAATTTCCATGACCATGGAGGTATTCAAATCCTGGTCTCCAGAGTTCTAGTCCAACACTCAAACTACTACACCACACTGGCTCAATACAGACCAGGTCACAATATAGATCAGATCAAATCCCAGTTTCTTTATAAAAGAACACACATGCTTACCTTGAAAGAGAAACTGGGACATTTAAAAAGCAGCTGAGAATTTGGGACATCAGAGGATTAACTTGGACCATCCTTGCCACATTGAGGCCATGTATGGCATAGGATTCTTGTGTTGGAGTTGCAGCAACAAAAATGGAGAATACTTATAATTCATAAGATTTCTAAGTAGACTGAAGTTCTAGTATTCCATAATGACACTTGTCATATTTTCTCCATGCTTCCTTATACTTTTTTTTTCTTTGACTATCTTGTGTCTGAGGCTGCATATGCACTGTGGAAATAATCCAGTTTGACATAATTTTAACTGTCATGGCTCCATACTATGGTATCCTAGGATTTGTAGTTTGTTGTGGCAACAGAGCGCTCTGACAGAGAAGGCTAGATGTCTCACAAAACTATAGTTCTCAGAATTCCATAGCATTGAGCCATGGCAACTAAAGTGATGCCAAACTGGATTATTTCTGCAGTGTGGATGTGGTCATAGCCATGATAGTCTGGAAAATCAGTATGAAAAGGGATCTTACAGCACCTCTGAGGCTGAAAGACAAAAGTTGCTAGCATTAGCTTTCATAGATGCATGCATCTGAGGACGTAAAGATCATGCTACCTACTTCTATCTTTCAGTTAGCCTGGTGCTGCAAGATCCCTCTGTTAAAAAAATTCACCAAATCTCATTTTTTAAAAACTAAACCCAACACCTATTAGGCCTGCCCCAGGTGGCAGAGCATAAGGACTGACAAATTACACACCTATTCACCCCACTGGGAAAGACCCTGCCACCATTTTAAGGAAACTCATTCAATGCTCTCCAGTAAATGTCACAGGTGACAAACAACCGTATAAGCCAGGGGTAGGCAACCTAAGGCCCGGGGGCCGGATGCGGCCCCTTGAGGCCTTTGGACCGGCCCCAGACTTGTCCTGCCGCCGCCTGCCATGATGATATTGATTATTGTTGTTATTACTTGTTCTTGGGGTTTTCTTGGCAAAATCTCCACAGGGGTTTTGCCATGGCTTTTCTGGGGCTGAGACAGTGTGCATGCATATATATATTTTTTTAAAAATATTTTTTAATTTTAATTTTTATTTATCTATTTTTGGTGCTTCGGCCCCCCAATTGTCTGAGAGACAGCAACCCGGCCCCTGGCTCAAAAAGGTTGCCTACCCCTGGTATAAGCTTTCCAGAGCAGAGCATTGACTAGCTTTGTAGAGCCACACTAGCAGATTTCCAGCTGTGCAAATCTGCAGAGCCTGCCAGCTCCAGATGCCTCTGAGCTGTCCTCAGAGCAAGACATTGCATTTGGGGTGGCCATGGAGATAAGCCATGCCACAGCAGTAATGGTGGTGTTCTCAGTCATTACTTCAGGTGAGGCATTCACGATCAAGTACTAATGAAATGACAGAGGGGTTTAGAATAGTGGTGTGGTAGCAGTATAGTAGTAGGGTCAGTGCATATCCTCCTGCCTTGACAGAGCGGGGTAGGGAACAATC